GATGAGTTTACTTATCTTAGTAGGCTAGTCGGCTTTGAACCACCATAGGTTCGGAGGTAAGGTTTATGCTCATCTCCTTGTACTTATGTTGTTTTTATTTATGTTAAGGTATGGGGGTGTTGATACGCCCTAAAACACTTAAGGGGCGTTGAATAAATAAAAAATAAAAAAAATCCAGAACATCATAACCAATTTTAGCTAGAGTTAGCTATGTTGGGTTCTTGAAGTCTAAATCGACTAGAGTTAGTTTGTTTAGTGGGCAATAAAGTTATTGTTTAGTTCTTTTGTTTGTAGTATAGTTGCTACAGTAAGGGGGAAGAGATTAAGAGTTTGATTCCTAGATTACTAAAGATTTGTAATCTGAAGTCTTTGCTCCGTTTTGAGTAAAATGGAGTTGAGTTGAACCCCTATGAGACAGGTCATGGTTTTCTCCTTCCTTGAGCAAGAAGGTTTCCACATAAAACTCTCGTGTCTGTTTTACTTTGAGTCATTCACTTTCCGCACTTTATTTCTGTCAAAGGACATGGTCCATTGACTTTTAGTGGACACATACATTTTATCAAGTTAATTTTTGTTGTTGTTAATCAATGATTCAAGTGTTGTTTCGCGAGTTGTATTTGTATCAATAATTTTTACATGATATTAGATACATTTTATGAGATTTGTATTTATATCAATGATATTGTAGGTTTTAGTATTTATATAAATGTTACATGTATTTGGCTTTTTAGGAATAATATACAATTGCTTATTTCTATATATGCATCAGTTGCATATATACAAAAGTTGTCAATTGCATATATACAATAACTGTCTAGCATTTATCATTTGTATATCTTATACGATTAAATTTGTTAATGATAATTATATACATTTTAATTTATATATCAAATTATATATGTATTTGTTTCTCTTAGGAATAATATATAATTGCTTATTTGTATATATGCATCATCTACATATACACAAATAATTTTCTAACATTTATCATTTATATATCTTATACGATTGTAACTGTTAATGATAATTATATACATTTTGACTTGTATATTTCAGAGTTCATGATTTGAAACTTTTTTTTTTATTTTGAATGAATAATTAAAAAGGAAGAACTAAAATGAATTATTAGTTTTAAATCGAAAAATACTTGTTGTATTATGAATGAAGAAGTCAAACTAGATTTTTTATTATTGAAACCTAGTAAATGAAAATTAGGGTTTTAAGGAAAAGTTTATAGCTTGAAGAGTTCATTTTGATATGAAATTGTAAGAAAATACATTTAATGTGATTCGTGGGATATTTTTCATTTTAAACTGATTTTACCACATCAATTAAGGAATTAATTTACAATTGTATTTGTATATACAATATTCAAAAATGCGAGATAACAAATATTAATCTCAATAGCTAATAAAATTATAGCTCGACTTGTAATTAAATAAACCTTAGCTATGAAACTTGATTATTTTTCTATAATTAGTTGTTTATGAAATTTCCTCAGCAAATAAATTTTACACAAATCTCAAATTGTTAAGAGCTAATTACATCATATTTGTACTCTTTTTCAAATTACAAAATCCCTTTAATTAGGTGGAATCCAGATACTGTAACGACCCGAGAGCAGCCCCTAGTCGTTACAGGCATATTCGACCTCGAAGAGGTCTTATCTAAGCCCTTAGCATTCGTCATAATATGTATCATAGAATAAAGTCACGGAAAATTTAAAACTTTTACTTTGGAAGTTCAACTTCACTTCATATATGAAAAATAAAATCTAATTTCGTCACAATGCACCATCTAGACATAGAAGTATCGAAAATGGGACTTAGCCCTTACATCAATAAGAAGTCTTGCAAATAGGAAGTACAACAATGTCTTTCAACATAAGCAAAGAACTAAACATAGAAGCTAGATCATAGGGTCTTGTCCTTGGACTTGAGGACTCACCAACTTGGGGAAGCAACTCCAAGTGTCTTGAGAAGTAAGCTTGAATCCTCAACGGCCAAAATCTAAATGTTTGGGAAAAGGGAGAAAATATGGATTAGTACAACACACGTACTAAGTAAGGCTACTATGCATAAAAACCATTGAAACATGTATAAAAAGACATTTTATTCAAAACATGCTTTTTGCCAAGTAAATTCAATATGCACACAAATTATATATCATAGTCCAACCAACATAATATCATCCCAACATGTAGACAGCCCAAGCAATACTAGTGCAATGCAAAGAATAGAACCCCATAACCCTATTCAAAGCCAAGTATCACATTAAGCAACCTACTTCATGCATACATTCAAAGATCATATTTCATCATAACTTACCACATTCATAATGATCATACATAACATAACTTCAACATACATAAGTCATAATAATCATAATAATAAGAGAACACTACTACAACCATCTCTTAGGATCCCACAAGTGCAATGTGCAAGAGAAATCTCATACCCTCCCTTACACTATGTAGAAACCCTTAAAAAAGCCCTAGTAAGAGTTCACACCTTTCATACCTTCATTTACTTTCACATTAGGGAAATATTGCAATAACCGACATAGACCATGAGAGCTACATGAAATCCAGTGTTCTACTCCCACACCGAAAAGAGAGGGTTAACACTTTCCTAAGGTGTAACCATTCATACATAGCAATCTAGGTGGATCCACTAAGCTAGAGTCCTATGTGGACACATAGTTAAAGGTCAAGGAGATTGCTTCTAGAAACTGTAACTTACTAAACGTGGGGGTTTCCATCTCATGAGACAACACATACCGTAGGTAATCCGGACTTGCTAAATGTGAGCAAACCCATTGGGGAGCCGGACTTACTAAATGTGAGACCCCCATCTCATTTACATGCCCTTTCGGTGCTAAGCATCTAATTCCCTTTTGTAATCATCTTTAGTCATCACATAAGTTCACATTAGCCTTTAATCGACCCTTATGTAGATATCTTACCATAATAGCTCATATGTGTTCATAAGTGAGTAACAATCCTTTCACTTTAGAGACACTTAGCAAGTGAGTAAACCTTTCACTTTATATTACACTACAATCATGAGAACTACCTTTCAATCATATAGCAATCATACCATAATATACATACATACTTCATAGCTAATTCAAGTGTAGAGGGTTAAGGATGAGGAAACTAGGTCATCAACACCACAACAACACATTAGGTATATCATTATTACAATCTAAGTAATTCACCTTTCATACTTGAGTTCAAAGAAGAACCAACCTTCATACATTCTTGCCGTTCGTGGGACATCCATACTTCAATTACCAAACAATTCATAACCAATACATAATACAAGGTAATTCATGAAGTAATAACATAATCAACATCAATATAAGCAATTGACATATTCCCTTCATAGCCTTCAAGGCTTCATTCAAAGACTCAACCCTAATTTCATAGAAATTATACATAACCTAGGGTAGAATCATCATACAAACATGAATTACATAAAACCACATTTAATTCATAGCCTTCAATCATTAGCCAACACAAACTAGGTTAGAATTAGGAAAAGAAGGAGAAACATGGGTCTCATGGGGAATTCTTCAAGAAACCACCAATACAACATAAATTCATCCATAATTGTTCATACAACATCAATCAAAGTCGGTTTATAACATCAATTTCACTTTAGAAAGAAGACCCACGTTTTTGGATTGAAACCTATAAATTGGAGATTTTGAAATTCATCTTGAAGGGGCCTCTTGGGGAAAGAAATCCCAAGAGTGATAAGCAACCATACCTTATAGATGAATTAACCACGAAAATTCGAGTTGAAACCTTGGAGAGTTGGTCTTCTTCTTGAAGTTCCAATCTTCTTCAATGGAGTTCTTGAGAAGAGAGAGAGAGTAGAGAGAAGGAGGAACTTTAGGTTTAGATCTTTGGGGTTTTGTGCTTGAGTGATAAAAGTGAGGTAAATTGACTTAAAAATCATTATATACATGTCCCCTAAAGTACCCTAAATACCCCTCACTTAAATGGACTCTTTAATGAAGTAAAAATAGATTTCTGAATTTCTGCATTTTCGTTGCGGAACAAGTCCACGACGCGGAGCTGTTCCCTGAAGATATTTGGAATTAAATTTCGAGAAAGTAGAGTCCGTGACATGACCGCGTCGCGAACTGACTTTTTGCTCCTTGGGGGAGCAAGTGCGCGACGCGCCCCTATTCCCTCTAAGTGCAATTTGCAAGCTGCCTTGGCAGCTTGCTTGGCTAAGGTTGGGGTCCTCCTCGGGGCCCCTTAGGGTGGCCCCGGGGAGTCGTATTCGAATGTTTTGACCCTAGGAACATATATTTACTTATTTTAAACCTTTTCTCCAGATTATACCATTATACGACACTCTCAAACCTGCCCAAAACCTAAGGACACGCTAGAACACATTCTTCTCTAGTTTCCGGACGTCGAGGTCGTTTCTTGACGTTTTGACTTTTACTCTTCCAAACCAAGTCAATTACATTAGTTTAGGTTTATAAACATCATTTTAACTATTTTTAAGTCATTATTTATAGGGTGAGGCTCTAACTTAAGTCATAGAATTTTCGGGGTGTTACAGATACATCCCAAAACGTCTTGATACATCGCGTCTCAATTTTGGATATATCCCTCAACGTCCTGATACATCGCGTATGTCCCGATATATCGCATAATGTGATGTATCCGACAATAGCATCCCAATGCACCTTATATGTCTCGATACATCGTAAAGTGATGTATCCGACCGATATATCACGTAAAGTGATGTATCCGACTGATACATCGAGATTTTTGTAAAAAAAAAATCAAATGGTTAAGAAATTTTAAAAAATATAGTGAAATAAGTTATATATTTAGATAAATTTTGCAATAGTTTTTTTGGATTTTTCGCATAAGTTTTCATTTTGGCCCGCTAGGCCCGAAAGTGTTCAATGGAAGAGCAGAATCAGATCTCATTGTTGGCCTACTTCAAATGCCAGCTTAGCAGAAGGACGCGTTGACATATTTTTATCATCTTATATGCTCTTGTCGCTGCCGGTGACGGAGATTGCCTGAGAAATTACACCGGCAGAATTTGTAATTCAACTCTCTCCGGTATAACCAAATTTCCTTCTTCTCTCTTCCATTCAGTCCCAGATATGCAATTCATTGACATGTAAAACCCATTTTTTTCCTATCAGTTTTGGTGTCGGTGGCCGTGTGTGATAGCGGCAAAGGGACTCGAATTGAGCTTGCTAATATATGGCTTACAGGAGAAAACAGCAGGTGCCTAAGGTTTCTACTGGAACTCCGCCACCACTTCCCGATGAGAGTTCTTCTTCATCATCTGCTTCTTCTCTGGCTGCTAAGGCCATACGAGCATCCTCCGCATACAAAGATTCTTCTCTTTCCTCCGCATATGGTCAGTCAGCTCTTTCATCTCCTCGCGACTCCTATCCGTTACGATCTTCTGCTCCGGTTTCAACAGCATCATTACCATACAAAGATTCTTCTCTCTCCCCCATCTATGGTCAATCAGTTCTTTCATCTCCTGGCCACTCAAATCCCTTACGATCTTCTGCTCCGGTTTCAACAGCTAAGGTTAGCTCTTGCTTGCCTTTAGTGTACTGCGCATAATACATTACAGTTTTTGTTTAGCATTTTTCTCATTTCCACTACTGCTGTTGGTAATTTTGCTTCCTTTCAGACTTTAAGTATCTCGAAGAATTTTAGGCGGCTATATGTTGATTTTGCTTTGAGAATAGAACTACATGTTAGGGTGAACTTAAGCGTGTTGTTATGAGTTGATTGTGTCTATTCTTTTGTTTTTTGTGGGCCAAAGAACCCACTTTTTCTGTTGTTGAGTTGTACTTTTACACTGATGTTACAAGTAATAGTGATATGTGCTGTTTTTCATCTTGTTTTTCCTTGTGCATATGCAGGTATATAGTTGTCACATTTATATAAACTTATTCTTTGAATGTCTAGGAGTGGTTTTGTAGGAAAATAGAGAAAGGAGGACTCTTACAATTTCCCTTCGTAAAATGTAAAATTTGATCCTCTGGTTTCTTTCGGCTGTTATGTGTCTATAACTAGATGTTATATTATCTTTTCTGATTTGTAAATTAAAGTCAACATCCAATTTTTCTTTAGCTACATATAAAAGTACAGTCTATATGTCTGTTACAGAGTGTAGTGTTCTTCTTTCGTTTACTTGGATGATATGGAAAAGGATAAGGATGGGCTTCCAAGCTTTGGGGAGGAAAATGTGGAGGGATGGGGAATAGGAAAGGATCTTGCCACCAACCGGGGATGGGGGAGTCATAAGATCAGTGATGCATATTTGCATCTGCAGTTTCAACGTGTATCTATTTTTCTAATAACCGTGGTGTTTGTACCAGCTTGTCACTGGATACCCGATATCTCTCACCAAAGTAGGTACTGGGTAACTCTGTCTACTAAGGCTTGGAAAAATACGAAGAAATTACATACTCCCTCCGTTTCTAAAAGAATGACCTGCTTTCCTTTTTAGTTTGTTTAAAAAAAATGCCCCATTTCGTTTTTTGGTAACACTTTAATTTCAGTTTTCCACATGGCATGTTTAAGACCACAAGATTAGAGAACATTTTGGTACATTTGTCATAACTTTAATTTAGGACCACAAAATTGAAAAGTCTTTTTTATTTTTGTAAACTTGTTCCAAGTCAAACTAGGTCATTCTTTTTAAAACGGAAGGAGTAGTATTTTTGTCTCCACTGGAAGTTGAATTTGAGAACTCATGGTTCTCAATCCACTTCATTGACCGCTAGGTCACACCCTTAGATGCTTCAAGTCGTATCCTTAGATGATAGGGAAACAGGATAAGGATCGGCTGCCAAGTTTAGAGAAAGAAAGAAGTTTAAATGGATAGGGAATGGGAATCTTTCCACCAGTTGGTGACAAGGGATTGGGCAGAAGGACGATTCATAGAGTTACTGACCTTGTTATCAGTTGTTTGACTTTAGCATTGTCTCTTTTACAGCTGATAAATGGAGGTCTCCTTGCCATAAGAATACTCTTTTTAAATGCAGGATTCGTCCAGCTATGAGTATACATCAATGAAAAACTTGAGTGAATCCAAACAAGGTATTTGGGGAGTATTGGCTAGGAAAGCGAAATCTATTATTGATGATAATAATACAGACCAACCACATCTAAGCGAAGTAAGAACAAGAATGCAACATATGCCTGATAGTGCAACCATTGGTCAGGTAAGAAATTTATGTTGAAATTAATTTTTTTATGGTTGCATGTTTGCGAAACCTTTTATTCGGCTATGTGGTGATGGTCTATGAGTTAGGCTTTGGGGTTACAGATTCTGAATTTTGCACCTTTATTTTATGGATTGCAGCAATATGACAGAAAACAGTTGCCTGAAAGCGGTAGAAAAGCTGAGGGCCATAAACTACAGAAGGGATTAGATGCTCTTGCATCTTCCCTTAATTATATTGGCGGGACCATCGGAAATGCTTTTGAGGTATGCTTCTGTATGAAGTTTCTTCCAAATTTTTCCATCAAGAATAAAGTACCAGTTTCAAAAAAAATTAACTTCCATCAAGAAATGCCACATTTAAACTTTTTGAATGTACTAAGTGTGTGGATTTGGAAAATATTTAAAAACCTTGATCACTTCACTACGCCTCAATCCAAATTTATTCGGTGGTTTGTGTGGATTGTTCCATTACTCGCCTATTAATGCTTATAAGGCTAGAGGTTAAATTTCACACTTATCCTTGTATGTACATACAAGTCTCTGGCCACTATATAACGACTCTTGGCAAATGTTTGAACTTTGATAAGTGTAACAACGACAACTTTATCCTAATTTATCTAATTGGTATCACCTACATGAATCCCTTGCTTCTATTGTTTTTGGTTTTTAGTCTTTATAAATAATTTTTGATACTTGAGCCGATGGTCTATCGAAAACGGCTTCTCTAACTTCACAAGGTAGGGTAAGGGTGCGTACACACCACTCTCCCTAGACTCCACTTGTGAGATTAAACTGGGTATGTTGTCGTTGTTGTAGTCTTTATAAATTATGTGTATGGGTTTTATCTATGTTTGTATTGATCTGATAGGTTTTAGGTATCATAGAATAACTTCTACTTTCAAAATAATGAGAAGTTAAGTAGCTCCGTTTTGTTTGAAAGATAATCATATAGTTGAATGCATTATGCTGCAATACAAGGCATTAGTTCTTTTATTCGTAAATTTGACAAGCCAACTTAAAAGCCTGAATTTTTTATTATGTGATAGTGGAAAACTTAGTAGTTAACTGCCTTAGATTCATGAGTACTAAGAGATATATCTACTAAACTTCGTAGTTAACTGCCTAAATTTTTGTGCTTGGAAAGAAATCATTTGGATGTATCTTGTTGCATTTGCTGGATTGTTGTATATGTATAGAATGTTGGCAGGAGGCACATTCAATGCTTTGAGCATCTTCACTTGTCATGTTACAAGGAGAGAAGCTCAAAATACCAGGTGATTTCTTCCCATTTGTTCTACCCTTGCTGGATAGAGTTACTTGGTACTTGTTGTTGGTGGGCGGTGACAGGTATCGTATGGAATTAGTTGAGGTGTGATTAAGTTGGCCCAAACACCACGGCTATAAAAAAAGCACTTAATACTTCAAAAAATTTCTTTACTAAGGATGGACTACTAAGACCTCATTTGTTTGCACTTAATGGAGGTATGAGTTTGAATCATTCAGACTACAACCCATTAAGTGCGTATATTTTACTTAAATTTTTTTTTACCACTTAGTGGGTCTTAAGAGCTCTGATTTGGTCCAATCGAAGATGAAGTCTTAAGACCATTATGTGCTCTTTGGTTATCAAACTACATTAAATGCTTAAACAACAAGCTGTACTTACTTTCACAAACACACTCTCTCTAAACTCATTTGATGCAGCATCTCATATTGCTTGAATATACATATTGTGTTTAGTATGTAGTTTAGATACATTGAATATTATCAACTATATATTTTATATATTATTAGGTTAGTACTATTTAATTACTCTCTCCATTTCAATTTGTTTGTCTTTTTTTTTAATTTGACAAAGAGTTTAAGAAAGTAAAGTTTTTTGCTCTTGTTAAACAAAGTTAGGTAAGATGTATCGACATTTCCTTTAATCTTACAGTCTTAAACATACCATGTGGAAAGTTAGAATTAAAGAGTTGCCAGAAAGAGGGAAATATATTCTTTTTGAAACATTCTAGAAAGGAAAACAAGACAAACAAATTGAAACGAAAGGAGTATATTGTTTTAATTTTATCTCGTGGGACTATATTAGTTATGTTGTTGTATTGTTTAAATTTTATACTTAATAAATTTTTAATTCAACATTTTTATATGTTAAGAAAACAAGCATTATTAATCATTCAATGTTTAGAATCACCACCCATAACCATCATTGTTGCCAACCACTAGTGTCAATCGCAACCACATGACCTATTATCTCCATCATTATAATTATATCCACCGCCACCACTGTCGCCTTCACCTTCACTACCACCACAACCACTATCAGCCACTACACCGCTATAGTCAATCCCTACACCCAACCACCTTCACCATCACAACTAGCACTGCCACTAACTACCAGCAACACATCGTCAACTACCACGCATTCTTCAACCACCACTATCAACATCGTCAACTACTAACATTATCCAGCTTCACCATCACAACCACCTCCACTTCACAACTAACATCACCACCATTACTAGCTAGTACCACCAACCATTACCACCACTATCCTTACAAACCATATCCACCATCGCTAGCAAATATAATTTTTTTTTAAATCAAATAATTTTACTTTATTAAGTTTACATCTTTCCAATATTAGATTACTGTTTTATTTGAATTCTATATTTATTATATTTACAAATAAATAAAATATGCACATCCATATGTTGTAAAACAGTCTTAATCATTCAATGGTCTAATCTAGAGATAACATCTTAATCATTCAGACGTGCATTCAAATTAGATGTCTTAATCTTAATGAAAACAAATGAGGTCTGCATTTGGCATGTAGGAAAATGTTCTCCGAGGAAAATAATTTCCTAGAAAATGTTTCCTTGGAAAACAAGTGTGTTTCTTACTTATTTTGCTAGTGTTTGGTAGGTAAGCAAGAAAATCCTATCCCAAGAACATTTATATGTTATCTAGCAAAACAATATGGAGACCGGATGGGATGCAGAGTGGGTGTTCGGTGGAGGCGAGGGTGGGATGGTCAAAGGGTGGAGGTTGGGAGGATTGGGTGGGTGGGAGGAGACAACAAACTTGGAATGTCACTTATGCAACTTGTTTTCCATGGTTCCATAGGGAAGTCATTTTCCTAATTTTTAAGGAACTTGTTTTCCTAGAGAAATATTTTCCAAATATTTCGACTAACCAAACATAGGAAAACAGGAAAATAACACGGATATTTTTATCTTAACTGTTATCCAGTAGCATATTTCACTGCTAAACTGTTATTACATTTATTCCATCAGATTTTTTCCATTATTTAAATTGTTAAGAAAAATGAACAACAGCAACAAATAGAACATTCTCCTATCTTTTTTAAACAGAACCGTGGCCTTTTCTTGTTCGTGTTAATGTTGATATTATGATTATTATTATTGTTATTTAAGTGCACCTGTATTTTCACCTTATAACCATCAATATTGGTTTCAGCACCACCTCCTGCCTCCTTTTTCTGGATATCTGTTCAGGCAGTGCTGATTCTCTTATTAAGATAGAGTATCTGGATTTACTATCGCAGGAGGGTCTTGCAGTTGTAGAGAATCGTACTGCAGATATCATTCAGGAAACCAAAAAGCTGCATATAAGGAAAAAAGATAGCAGCTCTATTCCACAGAATAATGCTTCAATGAGTGGTGCACATCAGCAACCTCTGTTGCGGGCCCACATGCAACCCCAGACACAGGCTGATTTGGAAACTCAACTCAAGGCATCTCGCGACGTAAGGTGGCAACTGTGTAACACTGGTTTAGCAATAACTTATCACGTCGTATTTAACTACACAATACATTGTTGATCAAGGAATTCTACTGAATTTTTTGATTTGGATCTATGTTGCTCGGACTCTTGAAAAATGTCGCCAGGTGTATGTCGGATCCTTTAAAGTCAGAACATTTTTGAAGGATCTTACACTGGTGCGCCAACATTATTGGAGAGTCCAAGCAACATAGAATTGGATGACATTAACCTATCTCACTGTTGTGGCCTTGTGATCAGTGAATATCCTAGAGAGGGAAGTTGCTGACAGCTTTCCTGAATGTTTGCTGGTTTCATGTCTTGGACATTACATGTATTTATGTGAGATGCATGATATGTCTGTTTTCGGTTTACAGGTTGCAATGGCAATGGCTGCAAAAGCAAAGCTTCTTCTTCGGGAGCTGAAGACTGTGAAAGCTGACCTGGCTTTTGCTAAGGAACGTTGTGCACAGCTGGAAGAAGAAAACAGAATTCTTCGAGAGAGTAGTGAAAAGGGCGGAAGTCCTGAAGATGATGATTTGGTATTTCTACTCCCTTGCTTAACTCAAAAGGATTAAACTTAGCAAAACCTCAAAATAATAACAGGAAGTATGAAATAATCCAATTCAAAATCTTTCTTCAATTCATTTAGGGATCGTTTGGTACAAAGATTAGTAACGCAGGGATTAGTAACAGAGATAATTTTTAGTCAAGTGTTTGGTTCATTGCTTACCACCTCATCTTATGTTTGGATTTAAACTCTATAAAAAAACTTCTTTCCAATTATACCCTTGAATTATTATGGAATTTTCTATTTTTAATTGGGTCAAAGTAGATAATTGTCAGACAATATAATTTTTTAATGGCCTTCTAACGAGCTAGGAAAAGAACTATTTTGTTGTTATGTTTGCAATTTTTTCACTTGAATTATTTGAGGGTAAATAATTTTCATCTTAATACATTGATCACTCACAAAACTCAATTCTCAAATTAAAAAGGATAGAACATCTACACATAGAACTGAAAAGACGGTAAACAATAGTAAATCGAATAAACCATTCACATTTAGGGGTCGTTTGGTTTGAATATGAGTTATGATGGGGTAAATTATGTTGGAATAAGTTATGTTGGGATTAGTTATGATGAGATAGATTGTGGTGGGATTATTTCTTATTGAGTGTTTGGTTTGTTGTATCCAAAATAATATATATTGATAAATTTTAAGAACAAGTTGTTTGTTTACAAAATTACCCTTCACTTTATTTAATTTTTTTATATTTTCTTTGCAAGCATTAGTTATTCATTTTTAAAAATAGAACTTTTATTTTATTTAGCTTAAATATTTTTGTTTATGTATTCCCATGATAAGTACCATATGTATTTAAAAATATAACTTTTTTCTTATTTAGCTTAAAAATAGAACTTCCCTCTTAAGTTTGTTAAAGAGAAGAAAATTTATGAAAAATCAAAATAAAATAAACATAAGAATTAGTCAAATAAATTCATAAATAAAACTTATATTTATATAGTGTAATTTTTTTAATAGAAAAATATGAATAATTATCATAAAAATAAGGAGTAGTGAATATTCTTATACATGATATTAAAAATAATGTAAATAGACATAAATGTGAAATGATGTATAAAAAGTATTTAAAGGAATATATTTGTCATTTACCTATTTTATTCCGGGATTACTATACCACCCAATGTGAGGGATAACTTATCCCGGTACTAATTCATAATTGAGATAAGATATCCCAAGCTTTGCAACCAAACAAGAAAATTAAGGTTACTTAAAATTTATCTTGGGATTAACTCCCCTTATCCATCACACCAAACGACCATTTACACATAAAAATTGCAAGTTGCAGTTTTAATATGTATGCAATTTTATAAATTGTTCAAAATAAAAATAATTAGAAAATCACATACATATCAACAAAAAATACACCCAATTAAGATCACAAACGTTATGTGGTGATATATTTGCCTTTTCAATTATTAAATGTTAAATACCTCACATTTCAAATATTGCATTGATTTGTATTGGATTTATTTAGCAACAAACAACTCTCTCTAAATAATAAAATTTGTAAGCTAATTTATTTAAATAAATTTAGTAGTAAAAATATAGAACATAAAATTAAGACAATAAATTAAATGATTAAAAGGATTTGAGGGGTATTTTTGTCTTTACATAGATAATCTCATGGTATTAAATCTTATGTATTACTGATACCACCAAATGGGAGGTATTAGTTATACAGGCTATAATACCATACATATCCTATAATACCATACATAGACCCAAAGTTCCTACCAAACATAGTACTCAATAATATCATCCATGATATATGGACTATTTCTCCTAATACTTCCTACAAAACGGCCCCTTAGAGGGTAAGACAGTTGAGTTTTGCACTTTTATGTTTCCTCAGCTGCATTCTTCAGCAGCAAAAGTTTCAGTATGTTCATATTTCTGTCCACTGGCACGGGATATCCTGGACCTACTTTTATGGAGTTTATTGGGGGATGGGCCTTCTTGCTTGTCGCCATAACTCATGGCATGCAGTGATAAGGCATTTGTGCCTGCTTTTTGTTGCACTTGTTTCAGATTTCTGTTATTTTGTAGAAGTTTGTGTTCATGGAAATAATTGTAGTTGTGATATGCACCTATCAGATAAGGCTCCAGCTCGAGACACTTTTGGCAGAAAAGGCTAGGTTGGGTCAAGAGAACTCAGTCCTAACACGGGAGAACCGTTTCTTGAGGGAGATTGTTGAATACCACCAGCTCACTATGCAGGATGTTGTCTACCTCGATGAAAATAGTGAAGAGGTGACTGAAGTGTACCCCATAAAGGTACAGACTTGATATGCTATTATCTCAGCAGATTGTTTGATCTTTTTCAAGCTAACTAGCTCCTGTGACCCCAGGTTGTAAGTCCACAAGTGACCAAGGATAACTCATCTCATCCTGTGTCATCCTTAGAGACTAAGGATGTTTCGTGTGATATCACCTCTCTGAGCTCTTTCATCCAAATTCCTGCTGAAGGTGATTTAGGAAGACACTGATTTCCAGTTGCTGGATGTATTGCTTTGATCTTCTCCAGCCGAAAGTGTGAATGGGTGTTCAGTGTGATTTCTTTTGGTTGAGCCTGGTCATCCTGAAACTTAATATGTATTGAACTTTCTTTTATCTTTTTTTGGTTTATTTTCTTGGTAGGGAAGGCAAATGCACTGGGGTTGGAGAGAACAACGTGAATTGTGGCTTGTTTAGTTATGCTGTAAGCTAGCCGGTTCTCACTGCAACGATGTGGAGGTCTTCTACGAATGTATGTTAAAATGAAGAATTAATATAATGTTTCTCTAATTCAAAAGTCTTTTATTTTCTTAAGTGTCGTGTCAAATAAAAATCAAACAAACCCATTGAAACGGAGGGAGTATGTTTTGTGGAATTATTGGTGTGAACTTTCAAAGATTAACTTTTTTATTGGTTGCAATTTAGAAATATGCGTGACCTGATATAGAGAATCTTTGCAATTTGATCCCAAAACAACGTGAACTGAAGGGAGAAGTAAACATAGGGTTTCTAAACAATCAATATATTTGATCCGTTCATCTATTTTCAAGGACTGTGTTAACCTACCGTTGAAACCTTATTCAATAAAACACACATGAATTGGTCTTACCCTATGTGTACCCTTAAATGGAATCATATATTTGATTCGGAGGAAGAAACCACTATTGCCATAGCTTGGATCTCCTTCATCTTTCGGCATAGAGGCAATATTCTCTTTGGCATCAACTGTAGGTAAACACCTACATTAGATATGGCTACTCGTGACAAGACTATATGTAGTTGTGCAAGGGTCAAGGTTGAAGTTAATTTACTCGGTGAATTCTCAAAATGTATTAATATTGGGAGAAGCAAAAAACTAGAGAAAACATGAAGAAGTGGATCATAATTAATTATGATTACATTTCCAAGTATTGTAAAAACTGCAAGTTACCACGCCATAATGAAAAGGCATATTTTAATCATTCATCTTGAATTGATTGTATCCAAAGGAAGAGGAGGAGGATGACTAAATAGATACACAAAAGAATGCAACGGAAGCTGCTAAGGGGTCACAACAGTCAACCAAGTCTAACAAAACAATGTAGAAAGGGCAAAATAATGCAAATCAAGGAGAAAAGGGCAAACAAGTAGATAATAATAATTTCAGAGAGAAGAGACAAAAGAATGACGACATAAGAGGGAGACAATATAATAGAGAAAGAATGGAACAAAACCCCAAGACCTATTCAGAAGAAGGATCAAGGGGTGGCTACTCTTAACAAATTTGGTGCCCTCGGAGATGGTCAGAATACTCATAAAGTTAGTAATGAAGTACCAAAGGATGTAACCCTGAGGGGTAGCTCAGCTGGTAAAGGCCTGGGACAAAGTCCTTCAGGTCGCCGGTTCGAGCCCCAGCAGGGCCACTGGAGGCATTACAAACCGGCCGCGTCTCCAGGGCCCCGTGGAACTAACCATGGTGGACCCGCCTTGAAACAGCGGGACCCGGTGGGTACAGCTAGTCGGGTTCGCAAAGCGACGCCCGGAAACCACGGTAAAAAAAAAAAAAAAAAAGTACCAAAGGATGTAGTAGGGGATTCAAAAAAGCAATGAATTGAAAATTCCTTTGATAAGTAGTTGGAAGACCAAGAGAAACCTCTACCCCTCAAAGGAATCATGCAGAAAAAGTAAGGGTAGAGCAGGATAATCAGAATCAGGTTGAACCTACTGATCATGCTAATGGTGTAGAAGAAGAAGAACCTAACCTACTTTAGGTGATTGTTATTTATAGTCCACCTAAGGAGGACCCTTCTATAGATGACATGTCATAGGAGGATATTCATCATATGAAGGATATAGAAGAAGATGAGCATATAGAGGCAAACATAGAGCAAAATTAATAATATATCTTTGCATCAGAATAAGGGAGGAGGAGAGTTTATCATCATCTAATCATTAGCATAGCAACACAATATAACATGAACTATTAATACTACAAGAAAGAAAACACAAAAATGCACTTGGCTTTTGTAACAAACCAAGCATTTCATTAGCATAGCAACACAATATAACAAGAACTATTCATTTCCATTTTTCAAAGCATTTTCACCACAATGTCTCTTTTTTTTTATAAGGAAGGGTTCCTTCTTTTTGTAACAAACTTCAAAGTTGAGTCTCATTTCATCTTTCTTTGTCGTTCACTTGGCTTTCGTTCCTCCTTCCTTTCCACACCCCTAACTTAGGCTTTTGGCCCATGTTGGCTATTCAAACATAGAAATGCTTCAAAAAGGATTTTAGGTGAGAAGGTAGGGACAATTCGGTTCAAGAGCCTTTCGTTTGGTTTTGCCAACAAATGGGTTAGACTCAAATGGTGCCAAAAATGGATGCACACCCTCATGAGGTAGTAAAAAAAGATTATGGATATTTGGGTTCCCTCATTGAATTATATCCCAAGATCACGCCTCACATTTACCAAGATTTAAACAATTAGACTAACAAGACAAATTCTAGGACTCCATACACATGCTTTCAAGTAAGAACTTACCACACATGGCACTTCGAAATACACTCATTTAGAAAATCCCAAGAAAATCAAAATTGTAGGTGTGATGTTCATTGCAAGGCTTACATCAAAACACAACTAGCCAACAAAAGATTCAAAGAGATTGCTCAAAAGTGCAACCACATTGATTTCATTCTTACAACACCAACACTATACATCATGAGTACTATTCAAGACATCGATATTGAATACAATCGATCCTCGAATCATTATCAATGATAACTCAAGCATTTTACAATTTTTCAAACTCATGAGGGGTTGATAAATTGAGAGAAAATGAAAAAGGTAAAAGAGATTTACTAAAAAAATGAAACACTATAATATAAACAAAAGTAAACTACTACAATCATCCAAAACTAGAAAGTAACAACATACATAGAAAAAAATGGAATATTGGATCAAAGGCCCTCACCCCACCAATAAGAAATAAGTAGTGTCCTCAATGCAAAGAAAATAAAGTACGGGAGGCAGAGTAAAAAGGTCTCCCTAATAGGCTAAGCATGTGGAGCACTCTTATCTAGAGTCTCAGGAAGGGAAGCATCACCCTAGGCATCAGTGCCTGGAAATAAAATCACTGGAGGAATGGTGAAGTCTGAAGAGACTCCACTGGTGTCAACTGTTGAAGTCTCCCAAAGGGATCTCTCTAGGGTTGGCTGAATAGTCACCTCATCGGTCTCATGAATTTCAGTGAGAGTCTATGCAATCCCATGCTCATCCACATCACTCCTCAGCTCCTCCTCATATGTCTCTTCGATCAACTCATCATTGGCCCTCTTAACATCCACATCATCAACTCCCGCAGCTAACTTAGGTTGCACACTGGAAGTAGGATCACTGCTAGGCATCGGTGATGGCACATAGGTCGGTGAATCTGGTAGGGGAACATTGCCCAATAGCATAGAGAGTTCTGTAGACTACAGTTGAGTCACATCAGCTTGTAAAGTAGCAAGCTCACCCTTCATGGTGTCTAGTGCACCGAAACTACCCTCGGCCTTTTCCTGGGCCTCTAATCTCGTAGGGAGGTTGTCCTACCTCACACCATGAGCCTTAATCAGCCCCTCACACCTTGTCACCCTGTACCTCAAAGGAGCCAAGGCCTGCTCAATAGCCCTGTCAATAATCCCGGACATGTCTTTCTCAACCCTCGCGGATCTAACATAAATTGATCGGGCAAAAACTACCCATCTGATGTATCAATTCCTGGTTCAAGGAGGGACGGATAGTAGGAGTGGGGATCAGCACATCTGCAACAGCTAAAGGTAGAACATAAGAGGAAGGTATACCTGTCTGCTCTAGAGAAGGAGCAGGTGTGCTGGCCTCAGATTCTAGAGTCTTTGGATCAACTACGAGCGTAATATCTGGTGGTGGCAGCTTTCTTCGAGCTGCATTGTCTCGTAAATACTCAGCCTCAATTCTCCTAATGTCACTGGAAGAGGGTGGTGTGATCCACACATCATATTTCCCCCGAAAGGGAAATCCGGCTCTCTCGTACAACTGAGTAATAAGAATTGGGAACGGGAGAGAGGTCTACTCCTTCTTGGCCCATAACAACATCTCCTCAACAATGATCCTACCGATATTGATATGCTCCTTGTCAATAATAGTGCCCACTAGCACTGCTTTAGGATGTTGAGGATCGATTCATTCTGAGATGGTATGATGTTGCTGCTAATAAACCTAAACCAATACCCGACTACAATGTTTAATTTTTTTCTTCTCAATCTTTGCATCGTCATCCATCCATGGCGGAGAAGAGTCATAAGATATCAATGGGGACATCACCCTTTCAAGGCATCAAGCTCCATGTATGATATGTATTAACATGAGTGGACGGGGTGCATAGTACTGTGTTGATCTCATCCGCATAACACTGAATCATTTTTCCCAGCACTTCTACCTCATCTAGGGGTTTTTAGACAGTGCCCTTTCTCTTTTTAGGCAGAGCGTTGGCATAAGCGTCATAAAAATCCCTGACCCACTTTGGCACATAGGGTTGCCTGAGCTTTGTGAACTACTCTAATTTATGGGACTTGATTGTCTCACATATGGCTAGGTAATCGCTCATCACCCCATCAGTTGAGAGCCTTCACTCCTCAAGAATTTTTCTTTCTTATTCTGCCTTGAGCCTATTTAAGGCCCTTGGAGCTATGATTGGGAGAACACAAGAAGCATGTGTAGGATCAGGAGGAGGTGATACTAGCTTGGAGCAAACATTCATCTGCTTTGTGGCAATATGTTTCCAAGGTTTCTTACCCCTACTAGTAGGAGTGTGCAGAGTGGCTTGTTGGGAATGAGGAACCTCTGAATGCTCATTAATAGATATGTCTCTATGCTTTTTCAGAGAAGGAGGAGGAGGCGAGTCTATGTCTGACTCTATGTCTGATTACACCACTTGTTCACCTTTTTCTCTAGCCATGTCCTACAAAGCATACATTCAAACATAGAAGCGGTTAAGGTTAGTTGAAATCAAACTCATTTGGAATCATAGCTCAAAAATTACCCTGAGGCTACCTAACGGGAAAGTGGATCGCCTAACAAGATAGGCGAGCTCCGGTGAGCTCACCGAATCAGACAATAGAAATCATCAAAGGGAACAGACACAAAGGGCGGAGTCAATTCCAACTTGGCGATTCATTGTGTTGGTTTCAACTGGCTAAACAAGTCCGTCGAAACTGATAGTGCAAAATGAAAAGAAACAGGCCTCAAGGGTGATGTCCACTCTCACTCGGCGATTCGCCTAGTGGGTTAGACGAACTAAGATAAGCCCGTCG